CTATTCTTCCACACTTTCTTGTATTCAGCCCTTTATTGATTGAACAGACATCCTTTAGATTTTATATTACAATACCCTAGCAACCTGGGAAAAGATGTCCAATTACATTCTCAATACACATGAGTGGATAGGCCACCATTCATGAGCTCACACGATGAATTTAGAGGCACTGTGTTATGTTTCCCTTATAGTTTCTCTCCTAAGTTTATTTGAGAAACCAAGTAATCAGCTGAACAATTAAGTCACTGCACAGAGGACCTAAGCAGTTTAATATAGTTCCAGAGATGTCCCAAGGCTGCCTTCAGTGAGCTGATAAATGAATGGTAGAGATAATGAACAGTACAGTTCAGAGGAGAGCAGTTGTGGTGATGATGCGGAAATCCATCTCTATTGGACAGCTCGAATGGGTGGTAAGGATGGATGCGTAGGAAGCAATGGGCATGGGATGGGCATTTCACTGGAAGGGCAAGAGAAACAGATTAGGAAGCCACTGAACACCCTTCAGGGCTCTCCTTTTGCCATAAGGATAAATCTTAAGCTTTGTGCTCATTTTTTTTTGTTTTTTTTCTTTTAGTCACTAAACATGTATTAAGTACTCCCTATATTTGGAGTTATTACAGATATGGTTGCTGCTCTCATGGAACATCTACTGGTGCAGAAGCACCAGAAGGAACTAAGCATGCACTATCAGATCTATAAAAGTGAAGAAGAGGAGCTATAGGAACAGAGAAGGTCAATAAATATATGAGGGGAAAACCGCTCAACATCTTTAGCCATCAAGAACATGCAAATCAAAACTACGTTGAGATTCCATCTCACTCCAGCAGAATGGTCACTATCAAGGAAACAAATTAAAAAGTGAGAATGAGGGGAGAAAGGAGACCTAATATAGCAATGGTAGGAATTTAGTTTCTTTAGTCAGAATGGAAACAAGTATAGTTCTTCAAAAGACTCAAATTGGAACTACTGCTCTTGAATAAAGACTGGCAGTTTAGGTCAGCATAACACAGAGGTACCCAAACCCCCATGTGGCTGCATCAGTATTCACAATCGTCAACATATAGACTCAACCTAGGTGTCCATCAGCAGATGGATAAATAAAGAACATGTATCTACACACACACACACACACGCACACACACACCATGCATACAGCTATATCATTTGTAAAAAATGGGCAGAACTAGAAATCAGCAGAAAGCTAAATATCATGTTTTCATTGATATACAGACTCTAGATTTAAAAACATATGTAAGATGATACGTTAACAATAAAAGGGAGACTGTTTAGGAAGAGGAAGTAGAGCGGTCGGAAGGCAGAGACAGAGATGAGGGAGGTTAATGGATGGGGTGTCAATATGAGCAAAATACACAATACACACTTGTGAAAATGTCATAATGAATTCTCTCACTGTGTACAATGAATGCATTCTGTATAACCAAAGAAATGTACAATGTGGGAGCCTACGAAGTTTCTGAATAAAAGAAAAGCCTACTCAGGATCTCTCGATAGGACTGACATCTGTGTCAGCTGCACGCTCACCCAAGTGTTGGTGGCTGTGGAGGAAGGCCAGCTTAGTGTAGGACACAGGACGGAGATCTGCAGGTCTGTGACGGGGAACGAGCCATCAGTGGGCAAGCAGTGGACCCAGGGGAGGCGAATGAAGTAGGAAAAGTTCATGGGGAGTCAAATGATGTAGGAAAAGTTCATGGACATCTGTTGTTGCCTGCTCTACATTTTGTGGGTACAGCATCCCAATGAATGCTTCCTTGGGACTCACTTCTCCTTAACTGTGGTCCAGGTATGTTTTAGGGAAAGATTATCTTATTCCTGGGTTGAAAGCTGGACATTTTTGACATTGTATTTCCTAGGTTCCTGACTCAGTTCATTCAACAAGATCAACCAAGATCAATTTCAGATGTCTGAAATTAGGGGGCAGGTGACCGTTTCTGTTGGAGTCACTAACTACATCGTCTAATAGAATCCATGGAGAGCTAGCAGTAACCATCTTTCTTCCAAAGTACAAAATGAGGACAACATAGAGAACCCAGCTGAGAGAAGAGACACTTTTTAGGATGTTACTGGGGTACACAGATCCAGCTGTGCCTGTCGCCTATGCTGGCCAGTTACATGAACTGATGGGACCTTTCCTTTAAAACAGGCTAGGACTGTAGATAAATTAACTTGAGAGAATAGGTTTTAGCAAGGCAGAGCTCCCTCTGTCTCTTTACCCACTTCCTCCTATTCCATTCATTTCGCCCACTCTGGCACGTGCCTTCTTTAAGGGGCCCACTGTCATATTGTGCAATCCAACACAGCTGGAATTACTAAATGATTTGGATCTTCCTCCCTCCCTCCCTCCCCCCCTCCCCCCCTCCCTCCCTCCTTCCTTCTTTCCTTCCTCCCTTCCTCTCCTCCCCCTCTCTCATTCTTTCTTTCTAAAGATACTTGCTATTTTACAGTGTGTGAATGTGTGTGTCCATTAGTGATTAGAGGACAACTTTCATGAATTGGTTCTCTCCTTCCCCTGTGGGTTTCAGGTATTGATCTCAGGTCACCAGGTTTGTGTGGCATGTGCTTTTATTCGCAAGCCACCTCACTGGCTCTGAACACTTCTTAAAACCTCTTAATTAAGCCTTGTCTTTACTGAGTTCTTTTAGGCTCACATAGAGCAAAAACTACTCAGAAAACATGATTTTTTTCCTCCTAGTGTTTGCTCAGCTCCTTTATTGGTACCCAACAAACTACCATACTATTCTAGATACTTCAGATTTTATAAAAGAAGGGTCCCTGTTATCATTAGGTAATAGTTTACACGGATATTCAAGAATCTACTCTTGCTGAAATACTGATGACTGAGGATGGTTTAACTTGAGAACTAACAAACTAAGGTCTTGGAGCAAAAATCCGTTTTATTGTCTGGCTTTTTTAAATACAAATCCATGCCTGTTCATCTTTTCCAGAAAAGTCTACACAGAACGGTCCCCCATTCTCTTGATGTTATAATTTAAGTACGGCCTGTATTTCACTGCACAGATAGGGCTGCATAAGCTAAATCACATTTAAGTTTGTCTCTTCTTAATGACGGGTGAATGATGGGTGAACTCGAACTCTGAAGAGCCCAATGCCTCCTAGAAAACTCCACCCACTACAGTATTATCACAAGCAGTTTATTAAAGAAAATCCTACACATATGTTCAGACCACATGAGTAGTAACATTTCAGAACGTGTCAGTCAGTAAGATGAGCAGAGAAAAGATGCTTCTGGATGAACCTGACTTCCATTTTACCCCTCCAGGGTGATCTCTTTAAACTTGTCTCCTGTTGGTGGGAACGAGAATTAAGAGCCAATATGGAAATGAGTGCAGAGGTCCTCAAAACTCTGAACAGAGACACCATGTGATCGAGAACCAGCAGGTTTGCTCTTGGATCTATCAGAGCAATTTGAAGTCAGCACACTACACAACTACCTACACACCCATATTATTCATGATAGTAGCCGCAACTGTCCCATTATGGAATATGCCCATTTCCAAAAAGATGGATGGACAAAGAAACGCAACACGCAGATACAATGGCATTTAAGTCAGCAATCAAAATGAACATGTGATGTCATTTTCAGGAAATTGGGTGGTATAAAGCATCTTAAGTGAAATGACCCAGACCCCAAATGGCAAATATCACAGGGGTTTACACACACACAGATACACATAAACACATGCGTATGCACACACACACACATAATAAAATCGTGTCATTTGCCTTGCTGGAAGATGTATACAATTGGAGATCACAATGACAACCAAAATAAACCAGACTCAGAAGACAAATGCCATGTCTTCTCTCATTTACAGACTCTAAAAATTTAAAAAACATATATGAAAGAGAAGCAACCAATTAGGGGAGAGTAGGGAAGGAGACAGAAAGGAGACTGAATGTGATGGAAACACATTGTGTATAGGTATGTAAATTTCCTAGTAGGGCTTATTATGTTCGATAATTCATACTAGTGCTAAATGCAAAAGAAATACTGTACCTTTATTGCTATAGTTTTCAAGACAAGGCTTTCTCTAATACCTGCCACTCCTCTGCCTATCATTGAAGAGAAGACCTGCCATCATTTGAATGCATCTCCCCAAGATCCATGTGTCGTAACTGCAATTTCCAAATACATCTTAACAGCACTTGGAGGTGGGGCTTTTTGGAGATATGATTTGGTGAGGTCATGAGGTGGGGCTCATATTATGTCACTAGTGGTAGCTTTTTGTTTGTTTGTTTGTTTGTTTGGGATAGGGTCTCCCTCTGTGTCTCCCAGCTGGCCTCAAACTTGTAGTTCTGCCATGGGGGTTTACCACCGTGGTTGGCTCATTAGTGTCTTTTTAAGAAGAGGGCAAGAGACTGGAGCAAACATGTTTGTTCTATGTTGTCATGTGACACGCTCTGCCAATTGCCTCTAGGGCTGAGAAATAAGTCAGTTCCACTCTTTCTTAATCACGTGGGGTCAGACATTTTTCACAGCAACCGAGCGAAGATGGCGACAACAGCATTAGGGGGTCCATTGTTCCTACATAATTTTTGACCCTAGCATCCCCCAGTTCTAACTGTGTCCTTACTAAGAGCCATAAAACATTTTGATGTGTATCTTGTTGACATTTTTGTTTCCCCATGCATGATGATATTTTCCCAAGTTGACATCCCGTGTCTAGCTCCCTTCTTCCCGGTGATCTCTTTTTGGGGGGATTCCTCAGGAACCAGTCCCCACATCACTAGCGGAAAGAGGCTGCTGCAGGCATCTCCTCCCGGTTTGAGGCAGTGAATATGGACCATTCTGTTGGTTTTGTTTGTTTGGTGTACTTAGTGTCAGAAAGCCAGAGCTGTCTGCTTAGAACAGTGCACTTGTTTTCAATGTGAAAAGAACATTTATTGTTTAGTGATCTTTAAAAAATTAAATGTTTATTTAAATATATATTATTTAGTGATCTTATTTTTTTCTTTTGCAGGACTGAGACATTTTCCTATTATTATACTTTATTTAACCCCATTGGAAAGGAAACCACTTTTCTAGACAAATCCAGACTCTCCTTTTGGCAGGAGAAGATGGCAAACAGGTGTAAAGGACTATTCTCTTTGAGAGGGTACTCAACAACACTGATGGAGGCCCATGCATTGGCACTGTGCTAAGTATGTTTCCTATAAGATCTTATCACACCAGCACTGCAAGGTGGAACTTTGACTTCTGTCACAGAGACTGAGGGTTGGAGTCTAAGTAACTCAGTTAAAACGAGAACTAAAAGGAGGATTGTAACATTGTAGCCCCTTTTCAGTCAGCAGTACACCAGGAACTATTTTGAGCACTTCACTATATTGTTTCAACGTTCTGACAGACCTATGGAGTAGAAATCCATACTCTTCCCATGCCATAGACCTGGAAACTGAATTTCAAAAGCCTTAGAGAAGGGACTAAAAGAGTCAGAATTGAAATCTAGTCCTGTTTGCCAAAGAAGCCTGTCCTTCCTCTGCCTCTCTATAGCCCCGAGTGCAGACAAGGTGAAGGAACACGTCCTTCAGCTCAGCAGCTTCCTGTCCAAGCCATTGCAGATTTTCCAACGCAGTGTGGATAAATGAAGTCTAGACAAATCCTCAGAACTGGAGAATCACAGATGCATCTAGGAAGTGAACTCACAGTGTTGCATTCTGGGAGTTGCCTACTCTTGTTAGCTAAGTGGAAGGATAAAGAGAGAAGCACCAGGAAATTGCTGCTGAAATCAGCTGTTCACAGGAAGCAGAGTTGTAGGTATCACAGAGGCAGACCAGACCACCAGCCTCAAATCATGGAAGGGCTTCCCCCCAATTCTCCCTTTCAGTCTCCATGGTGACCTCATCATCTCTGGATGCCAACCAAGTTCTGCTCCTCAGACAGCTCTTCCTATTGTTGATAGCTCTTCACTTTTACGTAAGTCCCACTCCCCCACACCCTGCATCTTTCTGGAAAATTCCGGCCCTTCTTCACTTCTCTGGCAGTCATATGTATGACATGATTTGCTCAATGCTTGTCTATAATTGGTTTCCTGGTGCTGGTGTGGTCTATTGCTTGGTCTGCATCCCCAGAGAGTCTGTCTTCTTTGTCAAGGAGACTGTCCCCATATCTCAGGGGACTTGGGACATAAAAGGAAGGCAAAGTGAATTAAATAACTTCTTGGACACCTTGCACTTTTAACCACAAATATTGATTGCATTTCCTCTAATGCAGAATATTCAGTACTAGGAATATTACAGACAGCAAGATCATCAAGGCATCACTGCTAGGGTACCAGACTAGCATTTTCCCTTAGCTCCAGAAATCCCCATCAAAAGACAATCAAGTCTATACCCCTATGCAGATAAGATTTATTTTCTATAACAAGATGCTTATAGGTTCTTCTCCTTTATTTAGGGTTTTAAAAGTAGACAGTGAGCATTGATCAAATTTTCAAATTTTAAAATTCATTAAATTGGATGATTTTTAAAAAATGGATTCTGGTTCCTTCTTAATTGGTTTTTCATTATTTAAACCCGAAGTAAATGGTATCAGTGTTCTGACATATGAATGATTTTACCCTTGTAAGAGACTGTAAGATATTTTTATACATTAAAAATTGGGTGAAATGCAGAAAGAAACAACAAAACAACCAAAACCAAAGCAAGAACGGAAACCAGGGCATTATGATGAGATTTAGTCACTAGATGGCAGTGCTGGGCTATAAATGCTTCCCCAGTTTTGCCATTGGTCAACTTGCGCAATGGCGCATTTAATTTTCACATTCCCAAGTATATTTCCATTCACTGCAGCGACATTTTAGCAAAAAAAAAAAAAAAAAGAAAGAAAAAAGAAAAAAAATTCAGCTGCTTTAGAAATGTTTAAGAACACGCTAAGTCTTCTGCACTCTAAGCTACCGTCTGAATCCAAATTAATTGAATAAAAGGTAATTGTCCTTAGAGTTCACAGTGAAACTCTTGGTCCCATTTATGCAAAAGCGGAACCAAATAAGGAAAGCACAGGCCCTTCTCTGGGAGGAGAGGAGCACACATGGGGGGTGTTGGGAAGTTGCTTCCGAGGCTGCATCTATGCGACATGTCTCTGTCCCAGGCCAGAGCTGAACCCACAAAGACCCAGGTGGAAGCGAGACCTCCTCAGGCCAAATTCTCCTGCACCTGAGCAGCAAGAGAGGGGGGCATAACGCAAATCATGAGGCTCTGGGAACGAACTGTTTTCTCTTTACTGGTGGCCCTCATGTTTAGCAATACTGAGTCTCAACACCCTGCCCTTTGGATCGAAGAACTTTAATCAGCTTCCATTTCTGGAGGCTGTCAGGAAATGGTCAAGAAAAGAATGAATTTTTATTCATTTTTGGCCATTAAGACAATAAAAGCCCAGAGACTTGTAGCAGCTCACTAGACCCCTTGTTCCTAGCTGTAGCTCAGTTGCTATTTTTCTTCTCTCTCTTCCCCCTCGCTGAGACTTTATTTTTTATTTTTTTTTGTGTAGTTTGCCTGACTGTATGTATGTATGTATGTATGTATATGTATGTGTAGCATGGGGGCCAGAACATGACATTGGATCCCCCAGGACTGGAGATACAGATGTGAACTGTCACGAGAGTACTCAGAACTGGACCTGGGTCCTCAGGAAGAGCATCCAGTGCTCTTAACCCCTGAGCCGTCTCCACGTGCACATACGCACACACGCCCCCCCCTCCCCGGCACATGTATACCACCCCCCCTCTTAATACTGCTTTGCTGTTGTTACAATTTTCTGAGTGTGCAAAGACGTAAGTACTAAACGGATGGTTTTCTGAGTCAACCTCCAGGCAGTCAGATCTTCCTCTGAAGACATGGGGAAGACAATGAACACATATTCTAACTTCTTATACGTCGCCAATCACTTCTGGAGTTCTGGTTTCAGCCAGTGAGCCGAAACATACAAAGGGCTTGAGATCACAAATAATAAAAATAGTTGGCGAAATCAATGACTTTCCAAGGAGACTTTGTCCTTCTCTCCTTGGGGCCCTTTATTGTATCTGTTGACACAGTACAGATTGTCACCACTGGGGCACAGATACTACTGGCATCTATTCAGCCTATATTCTAGATTTATTTCTCTTCTGTCCTTCCTTTTTCATCTTCAAGAGCATTTTAGAACTTGTTGGAGTGTGAAGATTGCGCTAAGCCGCTTGTAACTAAGAATTAACCGCCCCCGAATGTGAATCCTGGAGAATCTGAGAAAGCCTGGTCACCTCTTCCAACTTCGTCCACTGACATCTAGACAGAACTAGGAGTTGTCCATCTGTGACAGGACTGGGGCGTGGTTGTCCGTCTCTGATGAGCTGCAAACATAGGCTGTCTGGGCCTGCATCTTGGCATCATTCCTCACCAAACTGCGCCTCGGCCTTTGCACGCTCATCTCAGCTCCAGGTGATGGGAAATACGATCAGGACACCCCCCGTCTTGGGTGGGGTACTAAGGGCTTTGTTCTTCATTAACATTGCCTTCCCCTAGAACTAGTTAAGACAGTCTGGTAAGGTTTCTTTAAAAGCCTGTCCCAAAGCATCTCCAACCTCTGGGTGAGTCTGTTCAAAATAAACCTCTGCTGCAGACACTCAGTCGTCCACCTCCTTTCAGAAGCACTTACTTCCTGCTTGGTCAAGACTTCCGATTTCCAGCACACAGACTTGTCTACTCTCGATATGCTCTTGTTCCTTTTCTGTCCTTCAGGGCAGGTGAGCCAGCATCCTGATTCCAAATTATAACCCATAGGGAATGTGGATTGTAGTAACTCTGTAGTTTATCTTCATGGTCAACTTGGTGGGATTCAGGATCACCATGGAAACAAGACTGTGCAGTCTGTGAGGAATACTCTAGATTAGCTCAATCGAGGCAGAGACTCCTCACTGTATGAGGGTAGCACCTTTCTGTGGACTCGAGTCCCAGACTGAATAAAGGAGAAGGGAGCGGAGAAGCAGTAGGCATTATTCTCTGCTTTCTGACTAGATGTGACCTGCTGCCTCAAGCTCCCGCTGTCATGCCTTTCCCACAGTGATGAATGGTGCCCTTGAACAATGACTAAACCCTTCCTTCTTTATGAGGCTTTTGTCAGATGCTTGATTATGGCAAAAAGAAATCGAACTAATTCTACCGCATGCTTATAATGCTGTGGGCAGAGGTTATGCGGCCTGTGGACAAGGGCAATCCCTTCTCTGTACCCTGCCTCCGCACACTGATGTGTTGATGTGGGTTGACCATACCCTCCTAATTCAAAAATGTGTGCACGACAAAGAACAAGCCAGTCTGATTCTCACCCTTGAATCTGCAACTCCCAAAGGGGAGACTCAGAAAAAGGTGACCACAGGAGCTGGGCTACAGTCCGACAGAAACAGGGAGCCAATGCGACTGGGTCCTAAGCCTGCCGTGAAGAACTGAAATCGCCAGGCTTCATCCTGCCCCTTCCAGACATACTTGATAGAGTTTCTTCTCTGAGTTTCGTTTTCCGCTCCTAGACACCATATATATTTATAGAGATGATTTTCCTTCTCTTCCTCCTCTTACACTTTTTTAGAACTTGTGTTTCCTGCATAGGGCCTGTACTTCAGAGGCAGGAGCTTCGGTAGCTGATGTTGTGGGAATGCCCTTCCCACCCACTCTGCACTTGCAAGGACTCCTAGCTAAGCGCAGCAGCCTCTGCCAAGCACCTCCGCCTGCATAGTCTTTGCTTTCCCCACACAGAAAACTCTGCAGGTCTTTTCAGAATAAAATGCTCTACTGTTTTATACTCGGGATGAATACGCAGGATTTCCTACCCACCCTGAATATTCACATATCCTAAGATCCAGGACTTTGTTGCCTCAGTTTCCCTTTGTTATTGAGTCATGATCTATACACTGAAGACACTAGTCTGAAATCGATCAAGCTATCAATTTTTTTTTTAAATGTGTGGCTCCGGACAGGTGACATAGTTCAGATGGAAGAGTACTTGCCTAGACCACACAAAGCCCTTGGTGGATCGGCGTACTGTACAAAACGGGTATGGCGGCACGCTCTTGGAATGCCAGCACTGGGGAGTGGGAGGCAAGGCAGGAGGTCAAGAAGGTCGTCCGGGGCTACACGGGATGTTCCAGGTCAGCCTGGGCCATATGGGACCTTGGGTCAAAAGAAAATAAAAATCAAAACCTTGTGGCTTGCTAAGTACTTTGGTAATTTTCATCTGATTTTTCCACGGCTGTAATAAGATGTTCATGCACATACAACTGAAGCTGCTTCTTTGGTCCTCCCATTGGAAAAGAGCGCTCACATGTGCTGTTTCATTCACGTGAGTGAAGACAAAGCCTCCAGTAGAGGAAAAGGTGTCCGTCCTTTTGTCATGAACGCCATGTTTGACAGTTGCCAAGGATATCCTGCTCATTGACTTTACTTTATGAGCTGGCTTACCAAGATTTTACCAAGCAGAAAGTAAATCATGGAATACACTAGAAAATAATTACCGAAGCAAATAAGTGCAAACCAGGGGCATTCAGAGATAATGGGCTTCTAGGAATACTCTCTTAGAAGGGACATCAGGTAGCACAAAGACCAGTACCAAAAGATCCCAGAGGCTTGCTCCCCATCCCTGCAGTTCTTCAGAGAGTCTCAGTGTGTAAGACAAGCATCTAAAAGTGATCAGCTTTTTTCCTTTACAAAGAGCGCCGTCTTTCTGGAGTTTGGAGCAGAGAGCAGATTTAGTGTAGAATTTGCTAACATCGTTTGGTTTCACTGACATTACTTTCTGGTTACTTCACTTGTCATCAGCTAGAGAGAAGCCATTACCATCCATCTTTAAAGGACAACCAGCTTGGCCTGGTGGAGCAAGCTGATAATTCCAGCCACAAGGAGGCTGAAGCAGGAGGATCATAACTTTAAGACAGGGCAGAACCCAGTGTTTTGTCTCAAAACAAAATGTTTCGTTATTTTTTAAGGTCCTGAGATATAACTCAGACCCTAGGCATATAGTTTAAGCCTAGTACAGCACACATACCACACACACACACATACAGAAAACATATATACACCATCGCAACCACCATCACCACCACCACCACCAACATAAATAAAGAAAACTATAAAATACTTTGAAGTCCCACACAGTAATATATATACATCAAGGGATGATGGTTCAAAATAATAGAATTTTGGGGAGCTGCAGCCAGTACATGTGTCTGCAGTAAATGTTGACAACCTGCCAGATTTGAAAAGGGGGGAAGTCTTCCAAGCAGATCTCTCCTAATCCTGCTCAATGCTGTATCTGGAATAGGTTTTTCAATGAAATCTCATCATTAATATGTATATCTGAGGATTAATTCTTACATAATATTAAGTTCTTAATTCCTCAGAATCATTTCCTGTTTTCCTTTCTATCTGGTGTGTGTGTGTGTGTGTGTGTGTG